ACCTCAGTGGAACTAGGGAACTCTGGTTGAATTTGGGGGAAGGGTTCCTCACAGCGTGGTCTGGGGAAGTTCTGATGAACATCTGGAAGGATTCGAGACATAAGGACATGGCCCATCTGGAGCTAGAGTTCTCTGGTAGCGATCAGGGGGAAGGGCTCCTGACGGTAGTTCTGGTGAATGGCTGGAGGGATCCATGGCCTGAGGTCATAGCTGGGCCACCCCACTGAACTAGAGTACCGGGGGAGGTTCTCCTCACAGTATTTGGGGTCTTCTGGAGAGGCTGCGTGCTATCGGCCTTCAGCCCAGATGCCCAACACACCAGGCCTGAGAGCAGAGGGCCACTCAAGCCAGCTACAGATCACTTGCCCACCTATCTTCTCAGCAGCTGTGGCCCCTCTGAGCTGCCGTGGAAGGGGGGTTGGGGGCGGAGTTGAGGATCTTATACCTCCTGGGCGTGTCCAGGAACCTGGGAAATTGCAGAAGATGGAGTTAGAAGGGCCCGCACCTGTATCTGGACATGGCTAGTCAATGGGCACACCAATACCCAGTCATTCCTGGTATGGTGGAGCATGTGACTCCGCCCTCCCACAAGACTGGGCACCTGAGCTGTCAATCATCTACCCCAGGGGCTGTCACATGGGGGGGGGGCGGGGTCATAGAGATGAACGAGTTAGTAGAGACATCAGGAGGTCCTCACCCGCAGTAGAGGAGGTCCGGCTGTTAAGTGTCCCTGTCAACTGAATGGTTCAGGGTCATCATTCTCTTACTGCCCCTGATCCTGCCCCCCGAGACTGGGCACCTGAGCTGTCAATCACCTACCCCAGGGGCTGTCACATGGGGGGGGGGCGGGGTCATCGAGGTCTTTATTACAGGGAGATGATTGGTGGAGACATCAGGAGGTCCTCACCCGCAGTAGAGGAGGTCCGGCTGTTAAGTGTCCCTGTCAACTGAATGGTTCAGGGTCATCATTCTCTTACTGCCCCTGATCCTGCCCCCCGAGACTGGGCACCTGAGCTGTCAATCACCTACCCCAGGGGCTGTCCTATAACGAGACAGGAAGTGTTTTGTTTGCTCGGGCCGCAACCTCCTTGTTACGTCTCCCCCGAGCGCTGCTGCTACGACGACGACGCGTTTCACGGTGCTCAAAACGCGTCGGTGATGAATGGAGCCGACGCTCCGCTTCTTTCACAAGACTCTACGTACGCGGTGAATTGGGCCCCTCGTTGCAGGGCCAGACGCGGATTGTACTACAGCGACCCAACGTCCCCCCGGAAGACACCGAAAGAGCCGAAACGTTCTCTACGCTTAATCTAATGCGACTCGTGCTCTGCATACAGACCGTCGGCCGGGACCGGAGGAGACCTGAGTTTTCTCTGCTGCGGTCCAGTAACACTTACAGGTCTCGCCCCTCCTCCAGCCTGTAAACAGACAGCGCACTGATGATTATCTCACCTGTCACTTTGCTCTCTCCCGCTAACAGCATGCTTATTCTGGAGTTCAGCTTTATTTCTGCTGCAGCGTAAAGAGCATGCAGGAGGGGGGCGGAGACAAGACCAGTCACACTACAAGGAGAGAGAGCGGCAGTGAGCGGTCTTTATTACAGGAAGGGGCGGAGACAAGACCAGTCACCCTGCACAAGGACAGAGAGCGGCAGGGAGCGGTCTTTATTACAGGAGGGGGCGGAGACAAGACCAGTCACCCTGCACAAGGAGAGAGCGGCAGTGAGTGGTCTTTATTACAGGAAGGGGCGGAGACAAGGCCAGTCACCCTGCACAAGGAGAGAGCGGCAGTGAGTGGTCTTTATTACAGGAAGGGGCGGAGACAAGGCCAGTCACCCTGCACAAGGAGAGAGAGCAGCAGTGGGCGGTCTTTATAACAGGAGGGGGCGGAGACAAGACCAGTCACCCTGCACAAGGAGGAGAGAGCAGAGTGACCTCTATTCATAGGCTGGGGGGAGGGACAAGACCCAGTATCTCCCCCGCCTGGTATAATTCGGTCTGGGGATTGTTGCGCGGTGCTCGGCGGTCTCGTGGTTTGTCACCTCGTAGGTTTGTAGTGCTCGGGCTGTGTTGGTGCGATGCAGAAGTAGCGCTCTGATCTCCCCCCTCCCGCACATCCTTCTCAGCGACCTATTCTTAGAGTCTCTGCAGCGGGGGAGGTGAGAGGAACGCGTGAGAGATTTTTACGGAGCGCGGAACTCGGATATTTATAGAGATGATGAAGATTCACCGCAAAGATTCACCGCGTTCAGCTCCAGGCGGATGTTGGGGGATGAAAAGGAAACCTCCGAGGACAGAGATGCGGGAACCGCGGCGGATCATTTCTCTTCTCCCACTGCTCTGTCTTCATAGTCATTGACTGCAACATGTTATGATTTGTGACCGTTGACCTAGAATACCCCGCCTTCTGCCCTCCCACTGCAGTGCTCTGTGCTGGCAGAGCTGAGTAATAGCCACACCCATCATCACAGGTAGGGAGGAGCTCGGGATGGGAACAAACCGAGTCTGAACCTGGAAGTGCTCTGGGGGTCACCCGCCCAATCAGCTGCAGACCAGGGCATTCCCTGCCCTGCAGCAGAACATAAACAAAGGGGCGGGATGATTGTGCTGACATCATTGACCTTATATGGCCGTCCCTAACCACAGGCATCCTCACACAGGCTCGTATAGCAGAGGAGGAAAGGGGGCGTGTCTGACCAATTCATTACTCAGAAGAAGACCCGGGACACTCAGTAGAAGACCCGGGGCACTCAGTAGAAGACCGGGGGCACTCAGTAGAAGACCCGGGACACTCAGTAGAAGACCCGGGACACTCAGTAGAAGACCCGGGCACTCAGTAGAAGACTGCTCGTCGTGAATTTTCGTCCTCCGCCTCTCGGGAGACCCGGGAAGGGAAATAAATCAATACCTCCGGTAATCAATAGAACCGATCTGATAAATCTCTGCCGTGAAAACCTGTGACACTCCGCCGGCACAAGACGGATCGGCTCCAACCGCGCCGATCCCCAAAATCCCCCTTTTTAAAAAAAAATATTCCGGAACGCAGGCTGGCGCTGTGAAGTCGCCGCTCGCGCGCAGGAGGCGGTTATTATACACCCCGGGCGCTGGAAAACGTGTTTGCTCTGCAGCAAAGGAGCGAGCCGGCGGGGTTTGCCTATTCCCAAAGTGAGCGACGCGGACTGCCGAGAAACCAAAACCTCGCGCACAGCGCTCGGCGCTCCCTACACACCGAACATACATGAAGCCCCCGAAAAGTCAAGGTCACTTTCAGCTACCTAACGCGGGGGAGGGGGGTTCCGTGACCGTACAGGATCCGGAGGATGACAACTCCCGTGACTGCGGAATGCAAAATGCCAAGAAAGGGCGAAGATAGCCCTTCCGTGTTCAAGATTAACCCTTCCGTGTTCAAGATTAACCCTTCCGTGTTCAAGATTAACCCTTCCGTGTTCAAGAGTAACCCTTCCGTGTTCAAGATTGACCCTTCCGTGTGCAAGAGTAACCCTTCCGTGTTCAAGATTAACCCTTCCGTGTGCTAGATTAACCCTTCCGAGTGCAAGAGTAATCCTCCTATGCATGGCAAGAAGAGAGTCTCAGCAATAAAAGGCAACATGAAAATATTAATGGATGTACTTGGGGGGAGAGATACATAAAAGATACATGTGTAAATCTGTATTTTTTTTCTCTCTCTCTCTCTCTCTCCATGTCTCTCTCTCTCCATGTCTCTCTCTCTCTTCCCATGTCTCTCTCTCTCTCTCTCCCTCTACACATGTGTGTGTGCTTCTCTCTCTCTCTCTCCATGTCTCTCTATCTCTCTCTCCATGTCTCTCTCCCCATGTCTCTCTCTCTCTCTCCATGTCTCTCTCTCTCTCTCCATCTCTCTCTCTCTCTCTCTCCATGTCTCTCTCTCTCTCTCTCCCTCTACACATGTGTGTGTGCTTCTCTCTCTCTCTC